TATTACGATATTATATTCGCGATAAAATATAATTTGAGATAAAGTTTAATATAAAAATAATTGAAACATCTCTCGATGTTAAATGTGATATAGAATACTTGTATATTATATTAAAAAAAGAAAAAAAAAAAGAAGAAGAGGGATAAATAAATTTTAGATCGATTAGTATATTAAAACGCGTACTGCGTAGAGACATATGAAATAAAACTTGATGTACCTCGGTTCTCAGTAAAAAGTAGATCAACATTTTTTATTCATCCCAACACACAATCGTTCTACATTCATCGCGTAACACTCGGATGCACATTCGATTGCATTTATGCCCTTTTGTATTCTACTTTCGCGATCACTAAAACCTCAAGTAAAAGGGCATTTATCTTTATTGAATCGATAAACTTATTCATATATTTAAAGAAATGTTAAAACGAAGTTATTTTTTACCATGATCAATCTATTCTCTCATTTTAAATATCATTATCGTATTTTACTTAGTTTATTTTCTAAATAAATATTACAAATTTAATATGTTTTCTGTTACAATTTATTTCAAATTATTAAAACGATTTAATTCAATAGAAAAATTATCTGCAAAACGTGACGTTTCGTATTTTCCTTTTTTTTCCCCTTTTGCTACATTATCGTAAAAATGATTTTTTTATTTCTATTTCGAAACAGTATATACATATATATTTTTATTGTAAATAAGGTAGGTCTCGTTCTTTCGGTAATTGAATATCACAAGAGAGGGAAGTAGAAAAATAATGAAAAAATAATTCGCGAAAAGAGACATTCCAACTTCTTTTTATTTCTTTCTTTTATCTTTCTTTTCTTTTCTCTCTTTCATTCTTGAAGAAAGATGAAAGATAATATTAAAAGTAACAACTTTCAAGGGAGAAAAAAAAAAAAGGGGGAAGAATTTTTGTAGGTTGTGATATCCGTGCAAACTCACCTTATTGTAGTAACAGGGATATCTACTTTGAGCCGTTTGATTGTCCCCATCTCGTCCATGGCTTTTGAGAAAATCACGACACTCACCCTTAAGAGTGTTGACGCAACCCTCCAAGTTTATATACAAACGCGAATTATTGTAGATCGTCAATGATCGTTGGGCCGGCACGTACAAATTTTCTGAATCCACGGGATATTTAAGGCTTTCCTCGTAAATATTAAGAAAGGTTGTAAAATTGACGTAGTGTTCAGGAATCGTGACTTTGTTCAATGATGTACCGTTCACGCAATCTTCCGTTCTAAAACATTATAATCGTACAATCAATTTCATACAATTTTTATAAATATATATGTGTATAGCAAAACTCAATATTCTCAACAAAGTTTTCGTAGAAATTTATATTCGATGTGTATCAAGAATAATTTTAAAAATAAACAACATTATTATTAGAAATTGAAATAAAAGTTATTTATCAAATAATACAAATTTCTATTTTGTTTTTTGATTCGTTCGTAATATCAAATATTCATTGATTCTTTGTTTTTTTTCTTTTGCACAATATTTTATACGTATTCAATATGCAATTTAGTTTCAATATTGAGAACCCAATATAATACAGTATTCTTTCTGATGCTGTTTAAAATATGCTTGTATATATTTTTATAAATAATGGGAATGATAGAAGAATAGGAAATAAATTGCATATGTATGCAATATATATATATATATATTGCAATGAATCGTGGTTATATCGGAAACGAAGACTATAAAAATTTTATACGTCGTACTATCTGCATAGAAAAATAATGGAAATATTAAAGGAATCAGTTGAGTATGGTAGGAATCAATGGTTGCTATGGAAATACCCTTAATACTATCTTTTATCTGTTTAGAAAAGAAAAAGGATCTATAATTTACTAGGACGTGCGATAAATTCTTTTTTTTCTTAACGATAACATCTAACGAAATGCAATTAAAAGAAGAAAAAAAAATGTTCTACGAAGAAATATAATATATTACGTTTCTTTTAATAATTATCTCGTAACGATCTCTATTAACGTAATCCTTTTATAGTAAGATCGGTTGAAGATAGCCGAAAATAGCCGAAAAAAGTTGATTACCTTCAGTTATGTATGGTTACCTTCAAATTCATATTTTTTTTTTTTTAGATACCGATTGAAATAATTTTTTGTTAATCATACTTATATTTTAATCATACTATTCGTACCTAATGATGTTTCCTTTTCTGGTAACTGTCAAACAACTCGCAATTATGCTACCATCATCCTCGTCCCAAATTTTGACAGGTTCGGTGAGCCTTGTGCCAGGTAAATTTCCATTAGCTTTGTTCATTGCTAATCCTTGTGAACATTTAGCAGTTATAACATTGTCATCTTGCATAAGATAAACGTTAATATCTTTGGTAATAATTTTCGGACAATATCTATCGCAGGAAAAAGGTTTTCTAATTTTGGTACATTTGGAATTTTGACAACTGAAAAAACCATTTAATTTCATATTATCTTTCTCGCTATCTACAAAGACACCATCTGCTTTGTAATGACAAAGCATCAATTCGCTCATGTTAGAACAATGTCCTAAACTGCAATTAAATACACCGGATAGTGTACTGCACTCGCTGCCATTATTGCAATTGTATTTCTTCAAATTCCCCAAGTTAACCTAGGGGAAAAAAAGATAAAGTAGGATTGATTAAACTTTTTTTCTTTTTTTTTTCTAATAATATTTCGATCTTTATTAGTATCTGATCGTTCGACCATATAAAATAAAAAAGAAGAACAAAGAAAGAAAGATAGATTAAAGTAATAAAAATCATTAGGTGATATTTTATTTCTAAAATATTAGTTGTTCTATTTTTCTTTTTTTTACCTAATTAAACTCAAAGGATATAATATCTTTGTTATATATTTTTAATAAACACATATAGTATCATTTAATTCTATTTTTTAAGATAGTACTGAAATAACAGATGGGATCAGTATTATATAATGTAACTTATTCTCATTGCTAACAACTCGTATTATCTTTCTTCTTCTTTCTCGTGCTCGCGTATTTTTTTTTTAGAAAACATTGTTTAAAAGAAGAAAGAAGAAAAAAAAAAGAAAAGGAGGACAAGAAAATTTCTAATTAAATAATGTGAAAAAGAGAGATTGAAGAGATTATTTCGTTTATTTATTTATTTATTCTTTCTTTTTCTTTTTCATTGAAAAATATACGTCAAAGAGAAAAAGCTTAATAATGAAAAAAAAAAAAAGGAAGAAACAATATCATAGTTGCAATAGAAAATAGAATTCGTTGCCTAACATTTTGATCACGTACTACGATAACACACGCGAAAGAATTTATATAAATCTTAATAAATGATCCTAATGTGCATAAATATTTATCGATGAAAATAAAATTCAAACGGGTTCTATCTCTCTCTTTCTCCTATCCTCAGTGGATTATTTCCTTCATCCCTTTTTTCTCCGTTGGTTTAAAAATTTCATAGCGTAGTTTAATCGATATGCATCCGGGAAGGAAGGCCACTTAGTATAAAATCAGATTAGAAGAAAGAAAAAAAAAAAGAAAATAATTCCAACCCCAGCGAGCGGATATATTCTTTCATCGGATATCTTTTTTTTTTTCATTCGAGAGAAAAATTTGTTTCATAAAAAAAGAAAAGAACCATCGGAAGAACCCATAGGGGTGGAGAAAATTTCTTTTTCTTTTTGTTTTTCTTTTTTTCTTTTTTATTCTTCCGGTCACTTACTTTAGGACAAGAGATGCTGTTGAACATGGTGCAATTTTCAAAGATCACATCCGTCCCATTTTGTCTGACAGTTGCGTGTATTTGGGGACAAAACCCGGTAGTTTTCGTCAAGCACCATTCACCGCAACTCGCCCATATGCAGTTATTTACCAAAGTGGCATTAACCGTTTGGCACATTACCGGATCCGGATCTATACCAGCGTGAAAAGCTCTGTAAATAATTCAAATTTAACTTTCATTTAAATTCGTCGATTATTTTTTACGGTGTTCGTTCAAATCCTTTATTTCTTTTGCAAGCTATTACTTTAAAATCATCAAATGAAAATTCTCTAAGTATTCAAATGAAATTTATTTCTTGTTTTATATAAAAATATGAATATTTATTATAAATACAAATTATTTTATGAATAATTTATTTTCTAATCGAAGATATTTTGCATACAAAGATTTATTATATTTATTTATTAAATAACGTGTCTATTTTCCTTCATTATAAATGCAGATTATTCAATAACTCCGAATTCTTGATCATTATTAATCGAATCTATATAATTATGATAGAGAAAATATGATTAGATCATAAACGTTTACCTGTGCGAGGGCATATAAATGGCGACACTGAGGTAAACCAAAGCCACGCAACTGATGACAATGGTGAATTGGCAAAAACAGATACTACCACATATTCTACGATCCTGTTCCGGTATTAAACGACGTTTATGTTTCCGTCCCATCGTTAATCGACAAATTGAAACTCTTCGAGAGATTTATCTTTTCAAAAAAAAGAAAAGAAGTAAAAATAATATAAAAATTAAATCACAAAAACAAAAACTAATAATAATAAAGTGTTAAAGACTATATTAGGATAAATTGTTTTAAGTATAATCTCTCAATGATTTAAAGAAACTACAGAAAGTTAATTAAAATGAACGAATGAGAAAAATAGTATATAACTTTTTATCATGACATTGATCGATAAGTATTTTGTTACAAGATTAAAAGTTTACGAGAAAACGGTCAGAGACCTTTATTTTTCTCCCTATTTTCCTTCCGTAATTATTTGTCTTCCTTCCCTTTTATATTATCTTACTCATACACTAAAAGTTTCCACATTGATACGTTGCATTCATATAAACCATGACGTAGTTATACGTCTTTCGATAAATTTTCTTAGAAATTCGAGAGAAGATCTGACTCATCGTTAAAAGGAAAACTAAATCGAATACACACCCCCCTTAATAATTCTAGGATCCGATTAAAAAAATCCTAAGAAAATTCTTGACAAAACTTTACGATAACACTTCTATTATTTTGCTTTCCTTATAAATATTATTTTATCTTTTCTCGTCTTTTTTTTTTTTGTCTTGTCCTCTTTGCTATCACCGTATCATAGTGATGATGCTCTTAAGGCAATTACCACGTGTTAACTTCATTAAATACGTAGTCGGTGTAAACAGATGCACTCCACCGGATGACGTACAATTAAGTACCAGTAATCCCATTACCGTGTAAGAGTAATAGTGAATTAAATTGAGATAGATAGTTAGATGGTTAGATAGATAGATAAATATATATATATATAGAGAGAAAGAGAAGTAGAAGTAGAGATAAAGTTGTAAGATTATTCGAGGATAACCTTTTATCGATCGAAAAGGAAACTCACAATGTTTGTCCAGTCTAGATACATATATATGTATATGTATATATATATACATACAAACGTAGAAATAGTAAAACACTTTTTTTCTACGTATTATCTAATTAATACGAGATGTTGAATTAATTGTTTAGAAATATGTGAAAATTATCTTAATCATTTTCCCACGTTCGTATTATGATAATCGATAATTAATATTCAAGTGAATGAATATCCTATTAGCAAATAATACTCATAAGCTCTTAGACTCGTTGTACAGTCCCTGTTTGTAGATAACCTTGGATCGAGCTATCAACCTGTCGGATACACTAGACATTCCTCCTCCTCCTCCTCCTCCACAATGTAACCTCGCTTACTCCAATAATTCCCTTTACGCAATAAAAGTTCACGAGCTTCGTGGACTATTCATTTCTTTTTCTTTTTCTTTTTTTATATATCAAGTTATTTCGGTTGTTTATCTTCGTCGTTGATTATAGAATTGCATATATATTTATTTAAAAAAAAAAAATAATGACGTTAGGAAGTGTAACGTAAATAAAAAATGAAAATTTAAATACTAATTGTAAGAATTGAAATTTTTCTTAGGTCAAAGGGGTTGATAGTTTCGTTTAACTTTGTATAGAAAAAATCTTTGAATGATTTCTCTAAAGATGAATCTTTGTAAAATTGTTCTTTTTTTTTCTTATCTTTTCTTATTATTTATATTAAACGTCGTAATTATTGTTTTAATTGTATAAATTGTGAAATAAATCAAGAAAAAAGGGACACACGATGTATCATCGTTCGATAATAGGATCGAAACAATAATCGATCTTAATCGCGTCACTTTGGAAATGTCAACGTTGCCGTCATAGTTCCCGGGAATTATGAGATCGTCTATGATCTATGACCGTTTATTCTATAGGATAAACTTAGCTTCTTCACTAGTTAAAAATACACGAAGTTTCGCGTGACCACACTGCGCGCACAATTTTGTTTCTTTTATTTTATTTTATTTTATTTTATTTCCTTTGAGGGGTTGAAGGAAGAAAATTTTATCCCGACACACACACACACTTTCGCGTTTATTATTATTATTATTATTAATTTATTTAGTTTTTTAAAAAATATTTAATCAACTGATTAAATTACACTAATAAGCACAATTATATTTGTACGTATTCAAAAAATGATTTCGATTCGTAAAGTAATTGTTTGCTTTTTCTTTTTTCTTTCCTCCTTTCTATTTTTTTTCTTTTCGTTTGTTTCATTCCCGTCCATCATTCGCGATCAAAAATTTCGCGTTATTAATGATACTTGTATCCGATGACCAATGATCATCCATCGAAAGAGAGAGAGAGAGAGAGAAAAAGAAAACAAAAAAAAAATGATTGCGTTGATTAGAAAAAAATGTGCTTGCAAGGCACGTTCACGAGGCAACCGTTGAACCTCGACGACTGTTTGAAAACAAGGTCTGCAAGCCGAACTATACCACTCTCGCAAGCTCTTCTATTTCTGAGCTTGCGCCGTAGAAATATTCTTTATGGTGGTAACCAGCGACGTGAATGAATATTTCCTTCCCATGATGCGAGTTAAAACTTAAATCCCTTTTCTTGTTTCGTGGGAAACAACAAGTTACAAATATATAGCTCTTGCTAAACACAGTTATAATAAGTTAAGTGATTTTAGTTTTTATTTTTCTAACGAAAATTCACAAACGTCCMCCCCCCCCCCACCCCCCACCCATTTTTATCTTCTTTTTTTGTTTTTTTAATATTTTTCGTGCCGGTTGATTTTTGTTTGTTTTTGGAAACAAATCAGAAGTAACGAAGACGATTTGTTAAGGAAAAAACAAAATAAAATAATTGCGTGTGGTCATTTGAAATGTTTATAATCGATAAAAAAAAGTGTCGAGATTTAGAAAAAAGAAAAAAAAAAGAAAATGAAGTAAAGAAACAATATTATACTTTTCTTCTCAGGTTTCGTATAATTTAATCTATTAAAATGTATCCGGTTTACGTCATCGAAAAGAAATCTGATAGCGAAACTGATATTTTAAATGTCAAGATAATAACTGTATAACTGTATAAAGCGAGATAATTAGATTCTTTTATAATAATCTTCAAACTCATAATAACGCTGAAATTAAATTCGATTTAAAAGATGATCCTCCTTTGTTTTTCTTTTTTTTGCTGAATAGTTTAAACAACTGGTGGATACTTTAACGTGACCGATATTATGTCCAACAGGTCGTTTTGCACAAAGATACTTTTACAGGTGGTTTTATATATATATATATATACATAAGGAAATTAGATAAGAATAAAAGTGCACGTGTGTAAAAGAAAAGAAAATCATTCTTATATAATAACATTCTTTTAAACAAAACTTTATTTCCTATTTAATTGATATTAAACGGACAATCAATACAATGATTTCTTTTTTTTTTTATTGTTATTTATAATAATCATTTATTATCATCGCAGGACATATAATTTATTGTTTTATACACATTACTTTATTTACAAATATATAATATATATTCAAATTTAAATCGTTCGATTGGATAGGGAAAAAAAAATAGAAATACAAAAAAGAAACTACGAACGAATATATTTCATCCGGTAGAATTGTTGAGAAAAATTCTCGAGTAGCATAAAAAGAAAATTAAAAAAACAAAAACTTACGGGGGAAGCGTAGATTATCAATAGTATTTAGTAGTCATTTGTATATTTTTCTTTCCTTTTTTTTTATTGAAGTTATTTACAGAGAGGAGGATGATGGAAACTTGGGGGTAGGTGTGGGTGTGGGTAAAGAGGTGGCAGGAAGGAGAGGATAATTGCAATGGATGGAATTTTCGAAAAATCTTAATTGGAATGTTCAAAGTTTTCGTATAATAATTACATACGCGCGCGTTATTACTATTATTATTATTATTATTAATATTATTATTAAATAAGAAGAAAAAAGATAAGGAATAGAAATATATATATATATCTATTAGATAAGTAGAGATAGTTAATTTGGATAGATAGATATAGAAATGTATGATCAAGAGTGAAATAGAAGAAAAAAATGTATATAACTTTAAAGTTATTAAATAACTATTCGTAGAAATGAATATATTTCTCGCATGCATCGTTGTGTTTTTTTTTAACTTCTTGCTATATCATTTATATTAAACGTTGCCCTATATACAGGGGGGACACTCTAAAAACCATCTTTTTATGCAGAAATAATTGAATAAAGTTTAATCGTTAACTCATCATTGTGTAATTCTCGTGACAACGAATTGTGTGACACATTTTCAAACATACTTTTTTGTTTGTTTTGTGCCCTCCCCTCCTGTCCCAATCGTCAAAATTAAAAAAAACTCTGGGATAAACTTTGACGTCAATTTCGATCGGAATTTTTGTTCTTTTTTTATCAATAATGCAAGTGAAAAAAGACAAAGGGAAAAAACAATGTACGTAAATTTCTGTTATTGGGACTTATCGATTTTTTAACGAATCAAATAATTGGCACTAAAGTACGACTTATATTCGATTTTTTTCTTTCTTCTTCTTCTTTTTTTTTACAGCAACATCGATATGATTTGACAACGAAGAAGATAATATTATACTTTTTCTTTTTTTGTTTTGTTTTCCGGTTTTTCGATGTGTGACGTTACATTTTAATTTAAAAATAATAATCGAGAATAAAAGTAGTATAGTTTGTTGTTGCGAAAAAGGCTCGTATGATTAAAAAAAAAAAAGAAAAAAAATAATAATAACAGTATATATATATTATATATCTTTTTATAGTTAATCAAACCCCCTTTTTTTTTTATTCTTTACCCCTTTCATATTTAATACGCAACAATAGAAATCGATTAGAGCAAGCTTCGAGAGGGGAATGAGTGCCATAACTCTTTTATATTATTCAACAATATTTTGAAAGAATAAATGATTCTTTCTCATTTGTTTTTACTCTTTAAGATCCTCCGGAGTTAGGCAGAATAAAGAAAAAATTCACAACCATTCTAGAGATGTGTAACGGTGCTTTGCAAAATGCTTTTCATAAACTTCGAAACATTGTAAAATACGCTGATTATTGTTGAAATTAATCCTATCCCCTCCCCCCATCCCTCTACCCCATGAACAAAAATAATTCGTTGATAAGTTTAGTTTTTTTAATAACAACGAATACGCGATTTACGAGACTCTTTTTTTCATTTTCTTTTTTATTTTACTTTTTACGAGACGAATAATAACAATCGTGTTCAATTTAAATCGCGAAAATTCTTTTTTTTTTTATAGAATAACATTTAAAACACTTGTGAAAAAGCACGTTTCGTAGCTTAGGGAAATGCAAATCGCTCGAGCACCGATCAAAATATTGTTTAACTTAACAATTCGTATTTGATTGCACGCGTACAAACAAAAATCACGCGTATTACTCGTTCATTAACAGGCATACATGCACACACGCACACGCATACAAACATATTACAGAAACACACGTGCGCTTAAATGCAATATCTTTTATTTTGTTGTTGTTGTTGTTGGTTATTTTCCCCCCCCCCCTTTTTAAATCACCCTTAAACGACTATGCACAGCGTGCGCGCCCGCGTATAAAATTTGTAACAATACCTTACGATCGATCATAATTTGTTTTCATTTTTTTTTTGTTTTTATTCGTTCTTTTTTTTTTTTTTTTTAACAACTAATTTAATATGGTAATATTCACAGACTTCGCTTAACGAGTTAGACTTAGTCTAAAGATTTGTGTTCTTTTTATTTATTTTTCTTTCATTCTTTCTTTTGGTGCGATAAGAAATTCTAGAATTTGAACGCAATCTCTTTCTTCCTTCATATTTTATTTTATTTTATTTTCTATTTTATTCCGAGAATACGATCGACGATATATTTTTGCATTTTAACAATCGCATATATATATATATATGTGTATGTATGAATAGGTATCGAATCTTTTTTTTAAATTGTATTCTATCGATCTATCACACACACACACACGCGAATATATTTCATCGTGACATTTCTCTCTATTATTATTATTATTATTTTTTGTTTTGTTTTCTATATCCCTCCCCCATCCCACGATGAATATAATTTGAATAATTAATTTAAATGAATCGTCGAACAACGATCATGCACGAGACGAATAAAAGGATGCTCACGAATCCAAGCAGTTACCTTTCGCATCGAAAGCTTTTTTCCGAGTGATTTAAATGATTTTTTTTTGTCGACTTAACATCAAGATAGAGAGAGAGAGAAAGAGAGAGAGAGAGAGGGGGCAGCTTAAATGTCACTTAAGATACAATTTTACTCTCTCCTCTTAATTCATTCTCTTTCTTCTCGTTCTTTTGTAATTATTTTCTTTTTTTTTTTTTTTAATCTTTTATATTAATTAAGTTTTTAATTATTTTTCTTTTTTTGTTATCACAAACTGCGCTTATATTCTAATAAAAATGTATTAGGTATGCTGTTTGAAAGCGTTAAACTACACTTTCTCGTCTCTAGAATTTTTCATTATTCTTTTTTACTTTTTCTATCTTTCTTTCGGTTTTTTTTTTGCAACACTCTCTCTTTCGTGTATCATTATTATTATTACTATTATTATTATTTTTGCGTTCCCGTTTTCTTTTTTTTTGTTTTTCGTTTAATAATTATTCGTTATATATTAAATACGATTTAATTTTTGCATACGTTGTGGAAGGCGCAACATGATCATTTGTTTAGAATACTGGTAGACGATCTAGGCGTTCCTTAATAAAATTCGACTCTCGATTAATATTTTAAGGATCGATTAAACTCCGTTTAATTAACAAGAGTACAATCGGGAACGAATTTTATTGCATTTTTATTATATTTTTAATGAATTTATCGCGAGGAAAGAAGAACGTTGAAATGAAATGAAAAATTTATGCAATGTAGTACTAGAGTACTCTTATTATTATTATTATTATTATTAATATTATTATTATTATTATTTGTCCTATGTGCAAATAGCTGTTTTATGGAACGATGCCTAGAAGGAATTAAATTATTTATTCTTTTTTTTCTTCCCTTTCTTTCTTTCTTTCTTTTTTTCTCAAAAAATGTTTAAAACATTTAATCTTAATCGTGTTAAATTGCAAATTGTTTTATTCGAAGCTTCGTTTAGAATGATAATTAGAAAAAGAGAAAGAGAAAAAGAGAGAAAAGATATGAATATTATTATTATTATTATTAAAATTTCTTACACGTTTACTAATATTAATCGTAATTAAGCGGAGAATAATTAATTCGAAAGAGACGAGAAATTCGAATATATCGATAGTTGGCGATTAATCGGAAGTAACGAGCTAAATGCAACGACGATGATATTTCTTTGATCTTTTTCTTTCTTCCTTTTCTTTTCTTTTCTTTCTTTCTTTCTTCGATATCATATTCTGATATCTGATATACATATATATATATGTATATCACGCTTGGATCAATGCTTTTTATCCGAAAAAAATATTTTTTTGTTTTCAAACGTAAAGTACGTTGACGGAGTCGTTTCGATAAAATGTCTGGCGTCACTCCCGTGCCGGGGGGTGAGCCCGTGGTAGCAGTCAGTATTCCTCTTCATCTTCTTCAAACTCATCCTCTCCGAGAATGCTGAAAATATTTGAAAAAATAAAACAAACAGAAGTGTAATAATGGTGTCAATTGATACAAATATACACGGTGACTCATGAAATTAGCATTATACAACTTTTGAGTAATCAAACGATTATATAAAAGCAAATTAATAATAGATAATAAATATAAAAATAGAGTTGTTTTTTTTCTAGCCATATATCGGGAGGGAATGGGGGGTAATTGCAAATATTCATGTTACTTACTCTTCTTTTCTTTCGTATTTTTCAATGAGATTACGACCAGGTCCACCACACGTTTTTCTAACGGGTGGACAATACCAATAACACAATACTCCAAGAGAGACGGCAAATAAGACAACTGGTACGGTTAACGCCAGCACGAGGTGTTTTAGATTTTCATCCCAAGAATACCTATCGATACCAATTAATTAAGAATGATAATTTGGTTTCTTTTTTTTGTTTCTTTCTTTAATTATAATATAGAAATAATATAGATTAAATAGGTTATTGTATTATTAAAAACTAACCTTGCCACTACCGTTTCCGGATGGGTTCTACTGTAATAACATGGAAATATTTTGCCAATGTTACGGTAGCCATATTTTTTCGAAAAATCGGAACAATTAACTCTAGGTGGATAGCCGCAACCTTCCGTGTTGACAAAAAATTTCGTATCGCTCACGTCCCATGGTATAGAGCCAATAGGTTTTTTCATAAATTCTTCGTAAGGTAATCTAGTATAATTAACTTTGATTTGATGGCATCGTAACGCAGCACTCGTACAACCTGTATCATAAAATAAGAAACTTAATTATATATATGTTATAAATTAATTACAGAAAATAATATTTACTAAAATTATGAGAAGAAATGTCCAATAAATATACATAAGTGTAGAACTTTTACCTTCTCTACAACTCGCCCATGAACAATTCTTCAATCCTTCAGCATAAACGTGTTCCGTGGTGATGCAAGCTACCGCGTGTGGTGAAAAATCCGCAAGTATCGTCGATATAGCTGGCTCGACGACGAACGGTATTAAAAATAAGAAAGCAAATACCGCGAGAATGGCGGTGGTGCCCAAGCAGAGTGACGTGTAAAATTTAGCTTTTTCAACCAATGTAGCAACCTTTGCCATCGGTATTACACCACCGATGGTACTGGACTTGCTAGATTTGGTGTCCTCTTCCTGGGCACCCATGATAACAGTTGACTCGTCGGAATCAATGATTGGTAATTTTTCAGGGTCACTTGGACCCCGTTTACGACGATTCGGACGAGTTTTTCTATCTTCTATCGAAGGAGCCACGACGATTGTCGTAGTTTGAAATTCGATTATACGAATTTCACCGAGGTTGAATTAATTAACAGTTGGGGTGTGGGTTGGGTAGGGCGGGCGGGGCGTTGGGGTTGGGGGGGAGTTGTCTTTTGGGGTGGAAATACAATGTCTAATATTTTTGCAATCTTACAACAGGCGCAAAATCTCAAAGTGATATTTTATATTAATTGTGGTGATGAAAGAATCGATCATTGGCTAGATTTCGTACTATGAACACAGCAAATATTTTCAATAGATTACTTTGTTTAATTTTTTTTATTGGTTTCACGTCTTCCTCTATTTCCTTTTCTCCTTTTCTTCTTCTTTTTTTTAGGGATTTTGTTGTTTTGTTATTTTATTGATTTATTCGCGCATTTTATTTTTCCATGGAAAACAAACACATGGCTTGAGAGTAGTACGACGGTGGGTGGGGGGAGGGGATTAGGGCCCAGCGAATTTCTTTTCTATTTTTTTTCTTGTTTGTTTGTTTGTTCGTTTTTTTAGTATATTTCCTGTGTACTTTCCTTTTATTTTTATAACCAGACGTTCATCGACACTAGGCTGTGAGTATTATATATTTTTTAATCTTTTTATTTATTTATTTATTCATTTATTTATTCATTTATTTATTCATTTATTCTTCTTTTAATTCCTCGAAGCGTGCACGAGCGTTTGGTGCGTCAGAGAATTTAATAAATAACTATATAGAAAAATCGCTCTCGGTTTTTTCAATAATTTTTTTTCTCTTTTTTCCTTTTTTTCTATTTCAAATCTCACTTTTATTCTATCTACACACACACATAATTCTCGTCGCGGCGAATCAATCGATCAAACAATCAATCAAGATGAAAAGAGGAACCCTTTAGTGATGTATTACGAATACGCCGAATTTTTTTGTCTTTTTTTTCCTTTTTTTTTCTTTTTTTATTTCTTTTCCTTTTTGTTATATTTTTATACTCTTCTTCCTATATATATATATTTTTTTTTTAATTATTAATCTTATTTCTCTTTTATAATTTTGTTTCTACATATATATATTTGTTCTCTCAATAAAAAGCTTATCTATCGTAATTATTTTTTTATGTCTTTTAAACGATTTATACTACCGTACCAACTGTGATTTCACTTTACGGTATATGAAAAATACAAAATCAAAAAAAGAAATGTAAAAGAATATAGAGACCGGGAGCCAACGAGAAGCCCAATTTATTTCTGCTCGTTATGTGTGTGGTACGTTTTTACGATTGAACTTTTTTTTATTATTTCTTCTATGGTTCTTCTCTTATTATTCTTTTTTTTTTTTTTTAGTAACTTTACTTTCCACAACTTTCTTTTTCAATTATTCCTTTTTATTATCTTTTTCCGTTTCTCTCGTCGCATTAAACAGACGATTTATAAAATAAGCACCAACACCACCACCTCCACCACCACCGTGCACGCATTAACAATTAATAAAACGATTAATTATGTCTGCGTTAAAAATGTGTGCTTGCGGGCAGTGCGGTAATAATATAACGAACAACGTATTTTTTGGATTAAGCCTAACTAAGCTCCCTCTCCTCCTTCTCCTTTATTTTTTTTTTTTATTTTATATTATTTTCATTTTAATTTTATATAATTTGATTTGATATATTTTATATTATTTTCTTTTGTAAATTTTTGCTTGTTTTTTTTTTGTTTTGTTTTGTCTTATTTCTTTTCTTTTTCTTTCATAAAATGTATTTTCGAGATGAGAATTTGAACCACGCGTTCCCCCCCTCCCCACACTTCAATAGTGCCCACGCAGGGAGAATATCGACTGACGAGCCGGACTCTCCTCCAGGAGGGGAATGCCTGCGAACAAATAATGTTGATTGTTTAAAAATAAATGCAGGGGTGGGTGGAGAGTAGAGGATAAAGGAAAAACAAAAAAAGTTCCAAAGAGGATCACAAAATAATATATATAAATATATATATAAATGTGTATATAATATAAACGACATTCTAATCTAAATTCTAATCTAATAATCGATAAAAATGAATTTGCCTTTACGAGTTTTAATCTAGATCGTCCTGGCAGGAAACGAATCGAGGTCGAGGACACGCGAGGATATCCTCGGTGTAAATGTTACCATCATGAATAATAACATTGTTGCGTTATATAGAACACAACTAGGTGTATTACATATATAATTAACTATAATTATATTTTAATATTTTATAGATTTTTTCAATAATATTATTCTAATAAATTTCACACATGCATTTAACTTAA